GAAACATTAGCTTGCTCTCTCACCATGGATGCTGTCTGACCCATTGTGATCCCCAGGGTTGGCTGTTTCCAACACAGTTATGTACTTCAGCTACAACATGACTCATAAGGATAGGACTGGAATAATCTTTAAATCTTCCAATTTATTTACAAAGGTACTCATTAAACGCACATACCTCCTAACCCCAATAACAATTGTTTTAATCTGTCTATTTATGGGGCTGTTATGATTAATGATGACAATATAAATTAATTTATTGAACAATAAAGACCAGATAGCAATTCAATGAAATTATACTGAAACATTAAAGAAATGTTTAAAGAAATGTTATCAATTGAACCAGGGCGTTTCACCTTTATGACCAAATATCGAACTCCAACCATAATAATAAGATTTTGTTTCTCTCTCTTTGCAAGAATTATTTATGCAATCAGTTTGGTCATTCTTAACAAAATCTGGGAGTGTGTATCCAACAAGGTAAAACTGTCTCTGATGAAAAGTGAGATAACAAGATGTAGAGCTAGATGAACACAGCAGGCCAAGCAGCATCAGAGGATCAGGAAAGCTGACGTTTCGGGCCTAGACCCTTTTCAGAGAATCCTGAAATAGGACAAGAGAGAGAAAATTTCTTGATTGGTAAGGGGATCAAGGGTTACAGGGAAAAGGCAGGAGATTGAGATTGAGAAACATAACAGTCATGATTGAATGGTAGAGCAGACTTGATGGTCCATGGCCCAATTCTGCTTCTAGATCCTATGGTCTTTTGTCTGGCAGCATTTGTGGAGAGAAACAGTCAATGAAGAGTCACTGGACTCAAAATGTTCACAACTGTTTTCACTCCATTGATGCTGCAGATCTGCTGAGCCTTTCCAGAAATTTCTGTTTTTGTTTCAGATTTCCAGCAACTGCAATTCTTTGTTTTATTCTCCCTAACTACGCAGTCTATGCCCCTCATGACTTTCAGCAGCTCATTTAGGTCAGGTTTCAGCCTTCTGTGCTCTGAGAAAAACAACCCCAGCCTGTCTAGTTTTTCTTCAGAGCTGAAATACTCCAGCCCAGGCAACATCTGATAAATATCCTCAGCTAGACTTATACCAAGCTCCAGTCACCTGAAACTGAGTACCACAGAAATGCCAGATTCAGGTTCTCTGATCATTTTTTCCATTTTTAGTTATGATGGATGGCAATAAGTAACCTTTTAAAGGAAGAGAAATGAGAAAACAAAAATAATTGTGTTAATAATGTAAACATTAAGGTCAAGGATTTTTGTTTGGTTATTGAATACATTTGTGACTAAGGTTGCTGATGTGAAGTTATTGTTTTTATAGGTATTTTGCTGAAGGAATCAAAGTGGATAAAGATTGAGCACTCTGATAAATTTACCAAGCTAACTCTCCCTCACGTCCATAAGGAAGATGAGGGCATCTATACCATGTGTCTTCTCACACGGGCTGGATATAAAGAGCACAGTAGATATGTCTTTGTTAGAGGTATGAAACATTTACAGCAATTCACTGCAAGTTCACATTCATAAAAGTTTCAGAGTACCTTTTAAAGAAGATCATTCTCCTTTTCATTGTCCCACTTGTAAAAAATATTGATTCAGATCTAATACTGACAGTAGATTCTATCACGAACCTGAGAAGCCATTGTGAATCAGTAATTAACAAAACAAACACAGTCTCAAATGATTATTTTGATTCTGCAGAACTTGTTCATCAGAAAACATCTTCTGCATTGTATTTAGATTTGATTGCAAAAGCATTGGAGGAGCACATACATGTTTAAAAAGATGACTGGAAGGGTGATAACCATAGCCCCTGACATTAGGGGCCTGAAACATTATGTGGAGATGCTTCGTAAGGTAGAGTGTGAACAAATATGTGAGTCACCGAAGATTAGGTAGGGATGATGGTCTCATGGCAATGTCATTGGTCTATTAATCTAGAGAGAAAAATAGAAATCGCTGGAGAAACTCAGCAGCTCAGGCTGAGAAACAGAGTTAATGTTTTGAGTTTAGTATGATTCTTCTTCCAAAAAACCATTCTTTGGGTTCCAATGGTTATACTGGACTGGAAATGTTAATTTTTTATCTATTTCCACAGATGCTGACAGAAGTGCTAAGTTTCTCCAGCACTCTATTTATATTTTAAATTTCCAGTGTTTTGTTTCAATGAATCGAGAACCCCAGACTAATGTTTTGGAGATGCAGGTTGAAAAGCCCATCACAGCTGAAGCTTGAATTTAAATTGGAATTGAAAATAAG